CCGGCGTGTCCCTGTGTTGTGCGCCCCGTGATGGACTGGCGTCTCGCCCAGGAGTGATGTGGGGGGTCAGGGACCAGGAAGGCTCATTTCTATCTGGGGACACTTCCCTGCTGTGCTCAGCCGTCAGTAACAGACGGGCTGCAGGGTTGTCGTGCTGTACTTCTTCAGAGGGCAGTGAAGGCTGTAGTTTTCAGAGACCCTGAGTCGACTGCAGTAAGGTCCTGCATCTGGAGCAGGGGTGCTGTTTTACACATGCCTGTGCGGTCAGGAGTAAACACAGTGACTTGTCAGAGGGGCAGCTTTTAGCAGTGAAGTATTAACTAATACATAATGATTAGTTTATGAGCAGATGATGTCTGACAATGCACCTGTCCTGCGTGCGGTCTGATGTGAGAGGTGGGCAGCCTGAGGGGAGGGGCGAGTCTCCCTGGGGTTTCTCTCCTGAAGAGATGGGGGACACTGTCTCGGGGTGCAGGCCCCCCGACAGCGCCGTGCTCTTCCTGGAAACACAATCCTGGCTCTGCTGGATCGGGGAATTCAGTTTTCTCTCGCTGTGTGTGTGCACACAAAGAAAGAACTTCCTTCATTTTAAAGGGACAGTCTGATGTAGAATTATAATTATTTGAAGCACGTTCTGTATTAGTGTTTGTGCTCAACTGCAGTTCAGTGCACAAAAGGAAACATGCTGAGCCAAGGACAGCCCACTGTATGAAGGCCTTGAAAGACTGTCAGTGTGCCAGTGTGTCAGCTCCAATATCAGTACACTGTGTCAGCTCCAATATCAGTACACTGTGTCAGCTCCAGTATCAGTACACTGTCAGTGTGTCAGCTCCAGTATCAGTACACTGTCAGTGTGTCAGCTCCAGTATCAGTACACTGTCAGTGTGTCAGTGTGTCAGCTCCAGTGTCAGTACATTGTCAGTGTGTCAATGTGTCAGTGTGTCAGCTCCAATATCAGTACACTGTCAGTGTGTCAGTGTGTCAGCTCCAATATCAGTACACTGTCAGTGTGTCAGTGTGTCAGCTCCAGTATCAGTACACTGTCAGTGTGTTAGTGTGTCAGCTCCAGTGTCAGTACACTGTCAGTGTGTCAGTGTGTCAGCTCCAGTGTCAGTACACTATCAGTGTGTCAGTGTGTCAGCTCCAGTGTCAGTACACTGTCAGTGTGTCAGGAGTTTCAACAGCAGGTGTGCTATGTGGCCAGCAGGTTGCTCAGCAGTATCTAACTGTGCTTCTGTCCACAGGCTCGAGTGCGGTCAGTGAGCTGGACTGGCAGGCAGTATGCTTCTCTGGGTCGGCTGCCCCTGGCTGCGTGTCCGCTGTGTGTCTGTGTGAGGACAGGTCCCAGGTGAGTCTGCTGCAGTACTTATCCCTGGTCTGAGAGGGTCATCGCTCAGGAAAACATGCCCTAACTTTGACAGGTGGGAAATCTCTTCTTTAGTGAGCAAACTCAAATCTCTCTCATGGCTCGGGCAGCCGTGACTTCGCAGATAGCAGCACGCTGTCAGTCATGACCTCCCTCCGGCTGAAGTGGATAATAATGGACTGGATGCTGAGTAGAGTCCAAATGCGTAGACCCACCCAGAACCTTGGTCCGATTCCTGACCGGATGGCACCTGGACCAGAGCTGGAAGAGGCTCAGGCCCATTGTGCCGATGAGGTTCTGGAGACTGCAGATTCCTCCCAGTTCCCAGAGGCTACTGTGGACAATCGCATGAGCACATCATCCCTGGACACGCTGGGCCAGCGGCTGGAGTGAACTCAGTGGGATGATCTCTGTGGACAGCGTGTGGTCAGTCACTCTTGTCACAAGCTAGGGCTCCTCCTGTTGTTGTTAAAGCAAATGCGATATGTGCCACATTTCCCCTGTCACTCTCTGTGCTGAAACCCATTGGACGTGACATGCATTTGTGATATACTCAGTTCTTTTCCAGAGATGTTTATCTTATTATCGTTAAATTATAGACATTCTGACCAAGTAGTGGTCAGAGCTGGGCAGGAAGAGTGGTCCCCAGGGGGCCCGAGAGACACAGAGAGCACAGGACTGGGAGAGGGGAAGTGAGGCTTGGCAGCTCGGCGGGGGCAGAGAGCGGGGCTTTCCCGCGCAGCGGGGGTGTCGAGCTCGTCAGCTCCTGGAGAGTCCCCAGGCCTACTGCTTCTGGGAAACCTGACTTTGCACTGGACCGGGGGCAGACGCCCCCCCCTCTGGACTTGGGGCAGGCAATGTCAAGAGACACAGGAGCCTGCCGGTCACTCGGACGCCCGTGTGGCGAAGCCCAGCTGCTCCCTGGCCTGGGACCTGCATTCTGTGAGGAGACCAGACCCTCTTGATGTTTACAGGCAGTAGCTCTTCTGAACATGTTTTCAATGCCAAGCTCCCTGGGTCTCAGGAGAAGGGATTTTATGTGATTCTTAAACTTTGAATGCTGGTTATAGCTTGTAATAGCCTCCCTCTACTCATTAGGTGTCTTTTTCCCTTTCCCTCCCCAGGTAACGACAGAATCTTTCACCGACGCCGCAGACTCAGGTGAACCCCTGCCTGCCCCCCCAGTCCCCGCCTCCCCAAACCCCAGCCAATCAAATGCACCCGGACAATAAACTAACCAATCATGGCAAGCAAGTGAACAGCACTGCCCAATCCCAGCTCCAGAATGTAATCCAGCAGCCGGGCTCCGCCTGCAGCCTGGGGTCAAAGGGCGTGGGGGCGGGGAGCCATGCTGCCAAGGCCAATCAGATCTCCCCGGGCAGCTCTGGGCTGAAGAGCGCAGTGCAGGCAGGCGTGGCCCTGGGGGGGCCCACGAAGGGCAAGGCCAAGCGGGAGAGGAGCGTGTCGGCGGACTCCGGGGAGCAGCGGGACGCCCTCACTCCCGCCCTCGAACCAGACGCCAAAGGTAGGCAGAGCGCCTGCCTGCAGAGTGTGTCCCTGTGGGGTCAGCCGGTGAGCAAGGATAGGCAACGTCTGGGCTGAGGGGTCTTCTCCAGGCGCGGAGAGGAGAGGGGACAGGGCCGTAGAGACGAAAAGGCCAAGTCTGGGACTCGGGGCCTTTGCAGGATCTCTGCTCCCTGCTGCTCTGCCAGGGCCCCCAGAAACAGCTGTCTAGCAGCGCGCAACCTGTCCCCTCTGACCCCTGACCCCTGACCCCTGACCCCTGACCCCTGACCCTGTCCCGTGATGAAAGAGGAAGTGTCAGTTCTCCCAGCTCACTGCCCCTCTGGCTGGGCTTCTCTTGCTGCGGTGCGCTCCCTCCTCAAGCCCCTGAGGAAGATCCTGCAGCAGCTCGGGTGTCTGGGGGGTCCGGGGGGGGGCGAGGGTGACTCTGCTGCAGACTGTAAACCCAAGGCTGTTTTCGGTAAGCGTGTCGCTGGGTGAGTCGCTCGCTCAGGAATGAGAAGGGGTTTGTTTGCCGGTTGTGTGCGTGCTGAGGGGGGGAGTGACTGATCTTTGCACAACTGAGTCATTCTGGGTTTCCTGCAGTTTCGTTCACCCACCCCCTCGTCCTGCGCACATGTACTCCACACACACACACACGCACAGAGTATTACACACACACACACGCACAGAGTATTACACACACACACACGCACGCACAGAGCATTACACACACACACGCACAGAGCATTACACACACACATGCACAGAGTATTACACACACACGCACAGAGCATTACACACACACATGCACAGAGTATTACACACACACACACAGAGCATTACACACACACGCACAGAGCATTACACACACACAGAGCATTACACACACACACAGTCTGACAGGAGAGGGGAGGTTCTCGCAGGTTTGCCACTTATCTGCCCTCCTGCCTCACTCTGCCTCCAGGACTGAGCAAACAGAAACCAAGCTCAGTGCCAGTCCTCCGGAAATCTCCCTGCCCAGGGCTGCCGAAACCGCAGAGAGCAGAAGTAAAAGAAGAAGGAGAAACGCCAACTTTCTTACCTGGACAAGGAAGACTCAGGTTCAGAAACAGCCACCTGGAAGCGTTCGCTGCAGTAGAAATCCTCTCCACAGACTGAGTGTCGAGAGATACAGGAACCGGCCCCCGTCTCCCCCACTCCCACTAAACGCTTTCACTAGAACCAGGGCCTCGTTCAAGTAGCACAATACCTTTACCCCAAATTCCCTGGGACGTTGTGCACGCCCGTCCTGAGTCACATGCTGGAACGCCTGCTTCTGTGACACTGGAGAGGCTTGTCCAGGTGGAGAGGCTGTGGGGCTGTGCACCAGGGGATCTGTCCACCAGGGGATCTGTCCAACCATGGGGCTGTCCTCCACAGAACCATTGAGAAAGAAACCAGCCTGAATGGACCCTGAGCTCCTTCCTGAGCTCCATGGTGTCTGCTGGGATTAATTCCGAATTCTCAATCCCAGAATCTGACCAAATTACCTACTTAATTAAACTGCTATCTCACTGTGCTTTTTAACAGTTGTGCATTTCGAGTTATAGATGAAAATTTCCAGATTTTTACAAGCTAGTATCAAATTAAATTGAATTAAAGTGAGGGGTTTAATTAACACAGAGCTCAGTGTAAAGCAATAATGAATTTCTGAACACCAGCCTAAGATCTGAGTCTGGGGTGACAGCAGCTGGAGTGATTGTGTGTGTTTTATCATGGACACTTTCCATTTGTATCCTTCAATATTTATTTTGTATATTTTGGGGGTTATCTGTTTTTTTTCACCTGTATAAAACATGCTTGACAATTTAAAACCCATTCTTCACCTTTCAAAACTAGTAAGACAGTGACAATTCATGTTAAGACAGAGACATACGAATGAAATATAAGGATAATCGCTCCTTTTTCAGTGGATAAAAAGACGTGTCTGTCCCTGAGGTAAATGATTCGAGATAGCTTTAGTTTAATGGGTGAAGCTCCCACCCTCTGGTCTGGCCAGGGCTGCAAACAGCAGGAGTTCCAGGTGATTTGGAAAGGGAGGGTTTGGTTACATGTGGGGGATGTTCCTGATGTGTTTTCCATCATGTCCAGCAGAGGGCGTGCTGCGCACCAAGCGCCGCTGTGTTCTGGAGAAGAAGCAGCCATACAGCGGGGACGAGTGGTGCTCGGGGGCTGACAGTGACGACGACGACAAGCCGCCTGCTGCCGCCCACCGTGAGTGCACGCTGGGATGCTGGGGGATCTTGGGAAGGTCGGGCAGTTACCGAAACATTCACACTGTTTAAGTGCCGGTCTTCTGTGCACGTGGCCCCTTTTATATAGGAATTATCGATTAGATCATCAAACGTTTCTTGCTAAAGTTGTGAAACGACCTGTATTAAAAAACAGTGGTTTTTGACAGTCCTGGAAACACACCCAGGATAGAGCTGCTCTCGGGACATGTGACAGGCAGAGGGGTCAAAGCCCCAGTGCGTGTCTGCAGTGCTCGTGGACTGAAGGACAGGACTTCTAGGTCTCAACTGCTGAAGGACCTTAGAAGAGTGTTAAACTGGCCTGATTGAGCTCATGATCAGCTCAGTTAGGAGCAGAGGTGGAAGAAAGCCCCTGCAGACACAGCGCCCCCCAGGCCTGGGTCTGTGCACTGCTCCTGAGTGCTGGCCAGAGGAGAGGAGTGAAGAGGCAGTGGAAGCAGGTTGAGGCTTGTGAGTTGCTGGGTGAGCCCACAGCAGCTGTGCAGCTGGGAGGAGTGAGAAAATTCCTCAGCAAGCTCAGGAAGCTTTTCATCCTTCCCAGGCAGTGGGGGGCTGGCAAAGACCTGGGGGGGCACAGAGGCCTCTGTCCTGCAGCAGGGTGAGGATTTCCCACTCCCCACTCCAGCCCACTCCAGCACAGTCCAGTCTAGCCCACTCCAGCCCACTCCAGCACAGTCCAGTCTAGCCCACTCCAGCCCACTCCAGCACAGTCCAGTCTAGCCCACTCCAGCCGAGACCAGTCCACTCCACTCTAGTCCAGTCCAGCCCAGCCCAGCCCAGTCCAGCCCAGACCTCTCAAGTCCAGCCCAGTCCAGTCCAGCCCAGCCCAGCCCTGGGTGGGCTGATGAGTCCACAGTGCAGCCCCACACTGCGCAGGAGTGTGTCCGCTCGCTCCTCGGTGCCCTCTCGTGCCCTCCTGCTTGGCTCCCCCGGCTGAGCGTGCTGCCTGGCCTGCCGTCGGCTCAGCGGGAGGAGCGCAGGAGGGTGATCTGGGTGCCCTGGCTGGCGTGCAGCAGCTCCTGGGGTCCTGGGGAAGAGCCGGACTAGCTGAGTGCGATGGTGAGGGTGAAATGGGCGAAATCATTGGAAATTCCACTTTTGTTTGGGGAGGAAAAAAGGAGGAACGTGAGTGGTGACTGTTTTTCCAGCTGCTCTCTTCTCGTTGCTTTCCAGTTTTTGTGTTGTGGCGCCACCTAGTGGGCAGACTGGGTGCAAGTGCACGCCGGCAGTTGCCAGGCTGGCACCGGAGAATTTAATTCCACTGCCTAGAAATACATTGTCCACAGTTTTACTTTAGTCCTATAAAAGTGCTATGATTTCCCAATTATCCTGTAATCCCAGTTTTCCGATTTTACCCACTTTTCTATTATTTTTTTCTGAAAGAGTCCTGCAAGAAGCACCCCAAAATTACTGTGCATGACGTGGGACACACCAGCCCTCGCCACTTCAAAGACCTAGAAATGAAACTTGTGTATGTGTTAGAGAACCCCGCTTTAGAAAGTAGAAACAAGCAGGCAGGCGCGGCTGTATTGAACCTCCTGCAGACGTGCGCGGATCGAGATCTCCCGGGGTCTGGGCAGCTGCTGCAGACCCAGCTCAGCTGCGGAAAGGACAACTCGAACAGAAAAACAGAATGAACTGCCTGCCGCTCAGGACGGACGATGAGCTGTGTGTGTGTAGCAGAGGGCGAGCGCTTGTTTTCCTAGTCCTGCAGATTTGTGCTTCTAATCTGAGATGACGGCAGAGGCTTTCTGTGTGTGTGCCTGTCTGACATGTCCCCTCTGCCTCTCTCTCTCTCTCAGGGGAGCGCTCACTGGCAGGCCCCGCCCAGCCCCGCCCCGGCCCCTCCCCCCTGGGCCCCCTCAGTGAATCCGGCTCCTCCTCAGCTGGGCACGGCCTGGGGGCGGGGCTGCACCCCGAGCTGGGCTCCGCCCCCAAGCCCCTGCAGCAGGTGGTGTACGTCTTCACAACCAGCCTGGCCAACAGGTCAGTCCCCTTCTCCATGGCAACGGCACACACGAACCCTCGCCACGGCAACTAGGCAACACACAGGCTCCACCCCTCACCATAGCAACAGCGTAGGGTACAGCAGGACCCCCATAATCTTACCAGCCCAACTCCCCTTACTGTGTCTTGGACAGCCTCAGCAATCACACCCTCCTTCACCCCAGCAGCTGCACACCTCACACAGCTCCAAAACACACAGTTAACAGCATGTCACACACCTTTATTGTCACTTTATTGTTAGAAGTATTAAAAATAACTCCTTACAGTTCTATAGCGCTTCTCTGGACCCTCCACTCAGAGCTCTTTACAGGTCATGGGGATCCCCTCCACCCCCACCAGTGTGTACCCCCACCTGGATGATGCTCCAGTCTGCTCCCCACACACCAGCTCTCAGTGGGGAGGAGAGCAGAGTGATGAGGCCAGTTCAGAGACGGGGGTTATTAGGAGGCCATGATGGGTAAAGACCAGGGGGACATTTGGCCAGGACGCTGGGGTAACACCCCTACTCTTCTCGAGAGACACCCCGGGATTGTTAATGACCTCAGAGAGTCAGGACCTCGGTTTTACATCTCATCCGTCACTGTACTGGGGCATTAGGACCCACACAGACCCCAGGGTGAGCGCCCCCTGCTGGCCCCACTGACACCTCCCCTCCAGGTACTGGCCAGGCTCTCACTGCTGGGCTCCAGTGGGCGGCCAGCTGGGAGCTGCAGGGTGAGATGGCTGCTGGCTGCTTCTCTTACTCCTAATGCTTCTCTGCTCCTCCAGTGCGGCAGAGGCAGTGGTCCACGGCCACGCAGACTCCATCCTCGTCTTTCACCAGCAGAACGTCCCGCGGACCAAACTGGACCAGGTCAGTGAGGGGAGTCCTTACAACAGTTGCACAGGTGAAAGGGGACCTCTTGAGCTCCTCTTTGAGGTACTAAATATCTTCCTGTGTCCCTCGCTCTCAGTAAAACACAGACTCGGAGTTCCACACCTTTCGTCCTCTGCCAACCGGTCAGGTGACCGAGGTGGCACGCCCCCCACAGCATTCTGGGACATGTAGTACAGGCCAGAGCTGCCATCTTGCCTGGACATGCTGCTCAGTAACCCAGCGAACACCGGTGTTCAATATTACTGCTCAGTAAACAGTACCAGAGCGAGGACTGAGTCATTAGCCTGACCGAGTGGCATGGAGTGAGTTGTGATTTAACACCTGTCAGTCTTCCTTCACACCTGTGTTACTGATGCGAACTGTTAAAAGCTGATGAGCTCTGCAACGCCGAGGTGTCGGTTTGCAACACCTAACGCCCTGGAGAGCGCAGAGCTCGGGGAGCGGGGGGCCCTGTCTAAAGCAGTAGGAAACAGGTTTGCAGACGCTCTCGGCGCTGTGTGCAGCAGTCGGCCTGCAGGTGTGCTCCTCACACAGACTGCGTGGGTGGCTGCTTTTGTCTGATCGTGAATAGATTATTTCACAGTTTTAGCCGTGTTCCTCTTTCTATTTTTGCCCGATGTCCTGAAGAGGAACTCAACCTGGCGCCCGGAGAGAGCGCGCAGTTGCGTGTCTTTTGCCTCTCGGTGGCTTCTGGGTGTCCTGTCCTGGCCAGGGGAGGCCCAGGCAGATGGCTCTTTCTCCCCTTGCTCATTTGGTCTTAAAAAAAGCAGAAATCAACAGGAACCAGCGAGCTAAGCGTTGTGATCACGGGTTCGAACCTGGGCAAAGTCACCAGCTGACTGGGGTAGCAGAGACGGAGCAGAGAGACGCAGTCCTCTCCCGTGGCCTCCTGGTTGCCTGCGCTGTCAGTGAGGGACACGGACACGCCTCTCCCCCAGTCAGCACTGCTCCTCCGGTACGGGGCTGTGGGGGAGGGACGCCTCTCCTCCAATCAGCAC